AAAGGTAAAGAGCAAAAAACATGCTATATGTTTGACATAATTAATAAAAATTGCGATTTTTACTCCCTGGAGGAAATTTCAAAAAAGTACCTATTTACAAAAAACAGTATAACATGGTTAGTATGATAGTTAATATGGAGTATGTCTCCCGGACGATGCAATATAGGCCTTACAACGCCTACGCATGCTGAGTATCAAATTATCAATCTGATCTTGGGGAATATTACACCACTCATCAAGCAATGCCCTCCGAAGTTCCGGTTGACAGGTGGGAGGGGGTTGACGGGCTGCAATTCGTCGGCCAAGCATATCGCCCACGTGCTCTATTGGATTCAAGTCCGGTGAGTATGCTGGCCAATCCATACGGGTGATATCCTCCAATTGAAGGCATTCTCTACAATGTTTGTACGGTGAGGACGGGCGTTGTCATCCATAAACAGAAATTCAGCGCCCATGGCGCCTAAGATTAAACCTGGACTGATAAAAGAGCAATGCAAAATGTTTCTTATTTATTAAACAAAATCCTAGGTGGTTGCAATTCATCGGTTAGTAACTTTTATTTATTATTTATTTTATGTCAGCCTGTATAACAGCATAAAAAATAGCGTCAACCATGAAAAATTCTAAAACCATGAACACTCACCAAATTGGCTTAAAACCTAATGGATCATTTCTTAACTAATATTGATCCAATTGCGAGACTTTTTTTTTCAATTTATATAGGCTTTGTATTAGAAATATTCCTGCCAAGTTTGGTGAAATTTGGATGTAAATTGAAAATAATACAATAGCAGACACACACATAAACGTTGCGAAAGATAGATAGATAGTATTTCAGTGTTAATTATCTCTATTTGTAAATATATAAATATTGTACATTTCTAGTTATTTATTCCTAGTATAATGTTATTCTTTGTATGTTACCAATAGACACCGAAAATATGTTGAGAATTTTATATAGTTATATAAAGTTTGCTGAAGTTTATATATGCAGGCGTTACTGCAGATTACGTATATGATTATTTGTGTTTAGATTGTACCGTAAGTTGAGCGTAATAATAATCGTGAGAAGAGGAGCATTGAGTAAGTTATAATGAAAAGGATTCTCTATGTTATTATGTAGGTTATCTAAAGAATAACTGCCCTAGGAAGTTGACATCAGTTATTAGCAGACTCAGAACTAATCATTACAAAGGGATGAAGATTCTCCCAGACAAGACAAGGAATACATCCCCTGCAAAAATTGCCTCGACGCTTTCCTAACACCTAAGCACATTCTAGAGTGCCCAGCACTCATTCCCCATGTTTTGCAACTAGGTATGGTGCCAATCGAGGCCAACTTACGAGAAGTCCTGTATAGTGAAGCGGCGCCATTGCTAGCTGCCGCTATCGTGAAGACTTTTGACTTGATCTAACTTTTATAATCATATTTTAAATCCATGGTCACGATAACAACAACATCTGAAGAATACCAAGTATAAATACATTGTTCAAGAATTCACTATTTTTCAGATAAGGAAAGAAGGATTCTCTAACAATAGAAAAGTCGAGTGAATGACCGCAACCAAAATAAATGTATTGGATGTGTGAATTTTGTATAAGTACCGAAGGGAAAGGGCTGTAAAGGGACATCTACAACCTATAAATTTTTTTTTTCTCGAAACTGAAATATTTCAAGATAATTCTGTTATTATATTATTATAGATCTTCAAACCTTAAAAAAAATTAAACGTTTTTCATCATTAAGAGAAAAAAAATGATTCCATCTACACCAATTCCTGAGAAAAGAATAAAAAAATCTTTGCTGACTCTGAAAAAGTACATCTCGCTGTCCCTGCCCTCAAAATTAATTTGTGGGTATGCCATTGGAATTGTGTCGTTGCAATGTCTTTTTACATGGTCCTTAGTCTATGCGTCTTTGCACTGCAATTTCTCAATAGATAGTTAAAAGACTGACAAAATGCTGTCTGCCCTAATAATATAATATGAAAATATAAGATAATATAAAAATTGTTTCCTTCTGTAAGCCCAACATTATGACAACAATGCAATTATTATCATTTTGTAAATAAAACTTTTTTTAAATTTTTATATCTGGAATGATAAAAAAAAAAATCACAATATAAAGTATATATAAAGAAATAATTTATTATTATTAATTAGCCTGCTTGACAAAGAAGCTGTAATACTAAATATAAATAAATTTTGCCAATACTTGGTATTTTGTAATTTAATAATTTTAATAATAATTCTCTTCCTAGGCCCTCCTCTTCTGCTGAACAGGAAAGCAGTAAAGATTGGAAACTTAAAATGGCAGTCAATCATCTAATGCAGAATTTAAATTCACCATCCGCTGACTTTCTTTCAACCTATTTGACGTTACCTATTCTAAATGGAAAAAGCCTTTCAGATATTAAAAATACTGAGTGTTCTGATGGTTTGAAGCAAAAATACGAGGATAAAAAAGAAAAAATTTTATATCCAATATAACTTGTCAACTATGTATATAACTTTTCAACAATATAGTAGTAGTATGTGTAAAACTACTACTGTATGAAATTAAAGAATGCCTTAAAAATAAAATTACAAGATTATTTTTGTTATCGAATTAAATATTATTTTTACTTCTACAAATCAGTATTTACAAAAATTTGTTAAAATACATCATCCCCAACGAAACTGAGTGGAAAAAAAAAAAAAGAAAACTTAGAAGTGTAATCTGATTTGGAAAAAAGATTATATTAAAAAATTTTAAAAGCTGCTCTTGTTCAATAATTGCTCTTTAAATACAACAAGGAATATTTTAACTTCATTTTAAAAAAGAAGTCTTCAATATTATCCTGGAATATCGAAGGAGGAACCATTTATAAAGTAAAACGATTACCTCCTACTAATATTATCAGATTAGTAGTAGATTGAAATAAAAACAATCTCCAACATGCTTGAAAGAATTTTATTTAGCTTTGAAAGAATTGAATATATCTTCAAGTTACATCATTAATAGTAAACTTTTTCAGAAAGATCGAATTCGCTTTGATTTACTCATTCCCTTTGGATTCCACTTTGATGTATTCATTGAGGGCAATAAAATATTTGAATCATTTTTGTGCGAGTTCATTTTATCAGAAGACAAAATGTTATTACAACTTTATGTGGTTTTGTATCACATACTGTAGTTTTTAATTTAAGTATCACTAAATGATGATTGCTTAGAGATATCAATTCTGAATATTCTTATACGAATAATGCATCAGTTTTCTTGTCTAAATACTCTATTTGTACAATGATAGTATATTTTTTTAGTATTTCATGTTTTCTAACATGACATATAGAAGATTGTTTACTTACAATTTTAGTGAAACCCTAAGAAAAAAATTTACAAGTTTCTGAAAGTATCTTTAATAAAAAAATGTAGACATAATTTAATCAAAAAATTTAAATAATAGTTAAAAAATTTATATTATTTTTTTTAAAAAATATTTCTTAGTCTTTTGTATTCAATTATGTGTATACATAGATCAAACACAGAACTTTATCGTATGCAAAACAACTTATACAAAAATAAGATTTTGAGTGAAAAAATTTCAATAAGTAAAAAAGTCATGTAAAATGTTTTGGTTTTATTCAAAGAAACGGAAAAATAAATAACTTTAAAACATTATTCTTCAAAATATAAAAATTTTAAAAGAATTTGTAAAATAATTCCTTTACTAAACTAAAAGAAAATAAGTTTATTATAGATTTATTTAATTTACTAATGTTTTTCACAATTTTATTCTTATTTATTTTTCTTCTAAAATTACACTACAAATGGATAAAAATATTTTGCTGAAAGAGAAGTCTTCGCAAAAAATAAAATATACATTAAACTATAATCATTAACCCTCAATAGTATACTAGAGATTTTAAATTGATAAATTAGCATGTGAAAGCATGTTTTAACAGATTGTAAATAAGAATTTTGTAAATATTATTCAATTATTATTAAAAATAAAACAATGTCTATGGACCGCAAGTACAAGACATGTATAACAAATTAGTAAAGAAATAAAAATGTAAGTGAAAATGGTTGGCGAGTATTCAATTAAAAGTATACAATATTTGAAAATAAAAATTGAGGTATTTGGGAGTTAATAAATTGAATTAGTGATTATTTCTAAATATTTGAAAATGCATGATAAACCATTTGTATCAAGAAGAAATTGTATGGTTTAAAATCAATTTAACAAATAGAATCAAATATAAAGAAAGAAAGTAATAAAAAATATCAATAAAAAAATTATTAAAGAAGCATTTAAAAAAAAAAAAAAAACTTGTAAACTAAAAAAAAAAAAAAAACTAAACTTAAATTTGTTTTTGGAACATATAATTCAATGTGAATTGAAATAAAATGTCACATGTGTGTTTCTCTGTATTTTTCTTAGTATTTTAGCATTTTAAAGCATTTACGTTATAAAAAAGTTTCTGCAATATACTGCACTAAAATATTGAATGCAGGTAATTACTTAGTTAAATATATATTAAATCTGTAATATATAAAAGATCCTTAACAATTTCTTTAGATTGCCTGTATTCTGATGTTTCTAGTATTCTTCAAAAACTTATAATTACATGTTAAATCTATGGAATACAATAACATTACTTTTCCAACATTTTAGTAATTAAACTTGGAGTAATTTTACTAATTAAACTAATATATTATCAGCCAAACATGAAATATCATTGGTTTTTAAAAAAAATTCTTCATGTATAAAAAAGCTTCACTATAATTATTAATTAATTAATTAATAAAAAAGAAGTTTTAAGTAATAAAATTAATAAATTTTAATTAAAATTAATAAATTTGTTTTAAAACAAAACATAATGAAACTTTAAAAAAATATAAATTGTTTAAAAAATCACAAAAATATAGTGTTAAATGTTTTAAAGATCATTTGCTGAAATAAATTTTGTAAAAATGTAACACAACAGGAATAGAAAAAAAAATGTAATTGAAAAAA